GACCCTGTTTCCCAAAAAGCAGACCTTGTTTTCCATACCTTCAGAAAACATACCTCGTTTTCTGTACCTTCAAGCCTTTTTCATCTTTCCCCGCGCGGGGCACTGTTCCCAGTTTTTCAACAGCTCATCGATTTCCGCGCTGCTCCTCTTATGAGGAGGTCCTTAATGCTCAACCTCACCATTGAATAGATCTCCACGATTTCTCCAGGTATCGTCCTTCTTGATCCATCTTCGATGCCCCGTGTACACGGGTTTCCCAGACCCTCCATCTTTCGTTATCTACTGAGACATTGGATCATCCATGCACCACGTGCATCTGCAATATCTGTGGCACACCTAGCCTGCGACATATCCGTAAACGAGATAGTCATGCACTGTCGTTATCAGCGCGACTCTCATATAGAAACACTCACCTTTGTTGGCGTCCTAGTCTTGGCCTCAAGTTGTCGCACACTAGTAGTAAGGGACTATAGTGGCACGTTCTTGCAGTCGCATGACACTGGTATGGTCCACTGAGAAGGAGGAGCAGTGCCCTCCGAACCCCTTAGGGCTGTCCCAATGCAAGTTTCATAGTGTAGTTTCATATGTATTTTGGTGATGTGGCATAGTAGTTAATTAGAAGAGAGAGAGAGAGAGAGAGAGAGAGAGTATAGCTTAGGCTTCCCGTAATGGGGAGTATCATATACTAGTATCGTGCATATGATACTACTATATGATCCTACTTTCGTAATGCATAGTATCATAAGTTAGTATCTTAGATTGCATTATTAATTTTCATGCATGACACAAAGTAGTACAACATTTAATATGAAATGGTATTATAATATGATACCATGTCCTCTCTTTCCTTATTTAGTTATGTTCCACATCATCAAAAAAGTGTAATTGTCATGCATGATACCGCCTATAATACTCCCAACCCTTGCACGTCGCCAAAGGAAAAAATCATTAATAACCCGATCAAATGAACTCAAATTCAATTCAATTCAAACTTAAATAAAGTTTGAAAACTATTTACACATAGTAAATCATTTTGGATTTATATTTGACTTTAATTTGAACCTAAATCAAAAATAAATTTTATAAATTATATTGGATTTGAATTTGACTTTAAGGAAGCATTACTTGTATTTGAATTGAATTGAACTGGCTTGGTAAATTATGAAATGATTCGTAAATTGTTATAAACGATCTTTAATTCTTATATATAACAACAAGCTTGCAGCTAGTGTGGCTCAATTCACCGAGATGCGCCCCATTCCACTGTTCGTGGATTCCTCGAGGGCTTCATACCCAGCTCCTTCTTTGGTTAGCACCCTGTAGCCATCCCGACGCCTTTGTCGTCTCCATTCTAGCCATGGTGGGCGAGGCGGCGCTGCATTACCATTTCGCGCGGAGGCATAGATCGAGGCACACCGGCAAGCTGCCTTGCATCCCATGATGTAGAGGCCTATAGCTCCGGCTCCGCCAACAACGTAGTCTTCATCTCCGACTACGACGAGTAGGCGCACGGTTTACAACCTTGTTTGGCTGTGGTGAGGAACTACACGGGCGTGCGGGCGAGATTATTTTAATTAGGTTTTATTTGGTGATTTGGACAATGGTTTTCAAAATTAGAGCATAATGGATTGAACTAATTAAGGCTAACCATGGTTTAGTTTAATTAACATTTCATCTAATGTTATTATCTAACACATGAGGGGTTATGTGAAATGAGGGATTAACTGAAAAGGGACCCATGTGTAAGTGGGAGTGGCAAGAAGAAGACATATCTGATGCATTAGTATTGTGTGTTAATCGGCGTGCGTTACTAGTATAATAGTTATTATTAGTGTGCTCTTCACGTGCCACGAATGGGTGCAAGCCTCATTGCCGGGGAGTAAGTTTACTAGTGGCATGCCATCAATACGCTACTAGTAAGAAGTTATCAATAGCGTGATACTAGTGGCATGTCGTCTACATGTCACTTATTACGATGTTTGCTTGCCCTGTACTAGTGGAATATATTTTCGAATTAGCTGGGCAAATCCCATCTCCAACAACGTCTCACGACATGGTTTCATGACTAGCCGAAAAGCTACCTTTATAATTACTTAGTCATAGAGTAGTGTTTGATAGACCTTAAGTAAGTTGACTCACGTACGGAGTACATTCAAGGCCTCGAGTCTAGAACATGTCATATACATTATCTCATAGACTAACATATGTCAATATCTCGATGAGTCTAAAAGTAGGTTAGTCCGACTCTATTATCCCATCTCCAAGTTTATACTATCGGGTTAGTATCTCTATGCTCATGATTTGTGAAATATAGTCATCAATCAAATCATATACTATTCAAAGTATGTGTGTCTGCATATCCTTATCAACTAAGAACCATTAGAACAACCATCATATAATATCCAGTATCATAAACAAGCCACGTACTTATTGATACATTATCAATTACGATGTTCAACGATAATACAAATATCTCACGAATACATAAGGAAATAACATAATCGCCTGATTGTCTCTAGGCCATATTTTTAACAATAGGCACAAACAAGGAGAAGAATTAAATAAAGAATAAGAAAAAAGATGGATACCTGGCTAGCTAGATGCTTACATCATGTCAACTTGCAACCACAACAACTCTCCTAAAAACACGAGCATTGGCATCTACAGTACAAACCATTACCAGGAGGGAAGGCAAAAAAATTGGCATGATGGAACTACCTTCCCAAATATTAAGGGATCGTTGATCATCGATGGGTCGGTCTCACTAATTAACAATGATCAATGTCGGAATTGATTAATCGAATTAGGATGGCTACTACCAAATCTTGGTCCTGCCAAACGAGGGGCGTGAGGAGCAGCCCCTCCAAGCCCTAGGGCGCAGCCAAGGGGGAGAGGACTTGGACTCCAAGTCCAATCCTATTCCTACTAGGACTTTTTCCTTTCCCTAGCCACATGGGCTTTTGAGGACTTGGTGCGCCTAGCCCAATAAGGCTAGGGTGCCTCTCCTCAACCCATGCTAGCCCTTGGGTCGTGGTGGACCCACTTGTGGACTTCCGGACCCCTTCAGAACTCTCCAGTACCTTCTATAAGCTTCACGGTACAATACCGAAAAAACTGCACTTATTTTCAGGAGCCAAAATAAATCTTTACCTCTCAACCATTCCGAGACTCTTTGTGACATCCGGGATCTCATCCGGGACTCCGAACAACATTTAGTTAGCAATCATCAAATATCCAAATACTACTCTAGCATCAATGAACGTTAAGCGTGCGACCCTGCGGGTTCGGGAATCATGTAGTCGTGACCGAGACACCTCTCCAGTCAATAACCAATAACCGGGACCTGGATGCCCATATTGATTCCTACATATTCCATGAAGGTCTTTTCTCGGTTGAACCATGATGTCAAGAATTCGGTTTATCCCGTATGCAATTCCCTTTGTCCGACGATATGTTACTTGCCTGAGATTCATAGGTCTACAATGGATCGTCCTAGAATGCATATGGTTGAATACAATGATGATAATTCGGACGATGAGGTTGATGTCTATACTACTGAGTTTGTTTGGTCCTCAAAGCCCAAACCCTATACATGCAATGCTCTTAAGCCCATTTGCAAGATCGTGATGATGGGATGAAGTTCACTTTGATATATCTAAGTGTGATAGAATATTTGATGCCCTGTTGCAAGATAAGATGATTAGAATATCACACACCATACCGCCGTTTGAGGAGCTTAAACGGCGTGCTTATTGCAAGTACCATAATTTATTTTCTCATGCTACTAACGATTGCCATGTTTTTCGACGACAGATACAATCGGCCATTAATGACAGACGATTGAATTTTGCTAAGATGCAAGTTGATAAACAACCCTTCCCTATAAACACCATGGACTTGGAGGGAAAAAAATGTTAATTCGGCCTAGCATAGCCGAATCTGCTAATAAAATAATGTTGTTATTGGTGAATCCAGGAAAGGCAAGGAGGGCGACAAAGTCTTGGGAAGAGAGGTTGTGCTTGATAGGCAACACGATGGTATTGAAGATCACCATAAAAAATCCCGCACTCGGGGGGTAATGATACGTTTATTTTCCATCATGTTTACCTACTGTTAATTATTATGTTTTTATGCATAATAATGCTTTGTGGAGTAATTCTAATGCCTCTTCTCTCATAATATGCAAGGTCAACACAAAGAGGGAGAATACCGGCAGCTGGAATTCTGAACCCAGAAAAGCTACGTCAGAGTTACCTATTCTGAACATTTCCAAATGAGCTGAAAATTTACGGAGAATTATTTTGGAATATTGAAGCAAATAACGAAAAACTACATTTATAACTACTAGGTTACCAAGTAGTGTTTGATATACACTAAGTAAGTTGATTCACATCCTAAGTACATGTACATTCGAAGTCTCAAGTCGGGTTTGTCCAACTCGATTATTCCCGTCTTCAAGTCCATATATACTACTGGGTTAGTATTTCTATGCCAATGACTTGTCAAATATAGTTATCAACCGAATCATGTACTATTCAAAAGATGTGTGTCCACATAACCTTATCAATTAGGGACCATTAGAACAATTATCGTACAATATCCAATATCATAAACAAACCACATACTTATTGATACATATCAATGACAAGTTGAACGACAATGCAAACAACTCATGAATACATTAAAGAATAACGTAATCGTGGGACTGCCTCCAGGACATATTTTCAACGACACAAACAATGAGAAGAATTAAATGAAGAATAAGAAAAAAAAATGGATAGCTGGCTAGCTAGATGCTTACGTCATGTTAACTTGCAACAACCCTCTTGAAAACAGAGCATTGGCATGTACTACAAACCATTACCAGGAGGGAAGGAAAAAAAAATCGACATGATGGAACTACGCTCCCAAATATTAAGGGACCATTGATCATCGATGGATCGGTCTCACTAATTAACAATGATCAACGGCGGAATTGATTAATGGAATCAGGGTGTCTACTACCAAATCTTGGCCCTGCCGCTACCGTTGTGCTTCTTGGAGGTGCCCCGGAAGTCGGCGAGGATCTGCTCAAGGCAGGCCACGGAGCACGGCAGCACGATGGGGCGGTCACCAGGTTTGCCAAACTCCTCCTCAGCCATGTTGAGGAGCTCCCGGAAGGTGTCGCTGGTGAGGCAGCCGATGGGAACGAAGAACCGGCTGCCGTCCCGGGTGTAGGCCGCGAAATGGCCCCGCGGGCACGACGCCACCGTGGCCGCTGCACCAGCGGCGGCCGTAGGGGAGGTGACCTTGCTGCTAGCACTGCCGTGCCATTTCTTGGAGATCTCCACTATCCTCACCATGATCGATCGATAGATAGATGTGTGTCTGTGTTTGTGTGTTGTGTTTCCTGCATTTAGCTTGTGGCCAGTGAGATGTGAAGGTAGCGGGAGCTCAGGTGGGGTATAAATAGATGCTTAGTGTGGCGCTGTGGCGATTCAGGCTGCCGTGGGGCTCTGGCATTTGCATGGAGAGGATTGGGATGGATGGGAGAAGTTAATGAGAAAATTAAAGGAGGGGGCAGATGAGAACATAATTCATCATTGACTGTATTTGTGTGGCGTGTGATGTTGGAACTTTTGGAAGATAGGTATATATGTCAAATTCATCCTGATGATGACAAAAATAGTAAAATGGCAATGTTTCATCAAGCAAGTGAGAATATGTACAACAAATGTTTGTGTATCACTCCATCTGACATCATATTTGCAGTTTCACACACTTATTAATATGGCTAAATAATAGTACTGTTTTACCAAGTTTTTCCAGTGATGTTTAGGTGTGTATTGTCAAGCTAGTTACTAGATGATACATCATCAAACCTTTTGTAATTTTAACATGTAATGCTGCTTAATATACAACAACTGGTACGTTTTGTTTTTGAATGCACCATAACAGGTACGTTGAAAACATAATTTGTCGTACGTGTATTCAAACTGTCACGAGTTATTGCGCACGTACATACGTGGCGGAGTTTACTGTATTGAATTCATCGGTGTCCCCCGAAAAAAAAAAAAGAATCTTCATCGGTGTACAAGTAAAGCCTGCAGAGTACGTACGTCCGGTGCATGGATATTTTTGGGCCCAAAACCTGGCCTCCCTCGCATGTTATACTGTATATCCATATTTGGTATTACAGATAATCAGAAAATAAAATCAACATATAATAATCATGTGGTCATACAGGCAACGGAGGACAGTAGGGCCGTGTGCTTCGCTAGCAAAACCTGGGTCATCTTGGACCACAAATATGCCTAGGACACTTGTCGCGCCAAGGGAGCACATGCATGCAATCAGAACTCCAGATTCCACCCCTCAAAATAATTCCAGATTCCGGGTACGTACGGCAGCATGGTACATTTATCCATGGATATAATATATCCCGGTACTCCCTCCATTTCGCAATGCAGCGTATACTAAGTTTTTATTTATTTATTTATAAGAGTCAAACTTGTTTACATAGCCATTGGCATCTAAAACACTAAATACATAAGATATTGTGATACACTTTATGATGAATCTAATGATACTACTAACTTTGTAGAAGCGAGTGTTGACTTTTTTAAATCTAGTCAAATATACACTTGCTTAACTTTTAAAAAATTACTGTTATATGCACTGCTTTCAGTGCTTTGTTAAATAGAGGGAGTATAACTACATGTCTACATGCACGTAGAAAACCATACAGAGAACTTGTACGTACATCGGTCGGATCTAGATAGGACCGGCAGCAACGGCAGAGACACAGCCCACGGGCCGGTGGATGAGACACACATCTCTTTGGTCCTAGTATGCATCATGGCCGCCTGCCAGCTAGGAACAAATGCTAGAGACCGTCGGTACGACACAATATGCAGCATGACTAGTAGGCAATGCTAACTACTAAACTGAATGATCCGTGTCCTCTAGTACCATATTTTAACCATCCAGTGTACGTCTGTACATACTCCCTCCGTTCCCAAATATAAGTCTTTTTAAAGATTCCATTAAATGACTACATATGGAGCAAAATGAGTGGATCTATACTCTAAAATATGTTCACATACATCCGTATATTGTATTTCATTTGAAATGTCTAAAAAGACTTATATTTAGAAACGGAAGGAGTACTATTTTTAGTTGTATGTCTGCATATATTGAGTGTCGACGTTGGATCCATTCTATACAAAAGCATGTAGCATGTACATGCATGAAGATGCCGTATATGCATTCATGCATGTGAGAGTTTATGTCTATATATGTATACATTCCATCTATTTTACAACCGGCTGTAGAATAGTTATTCTACAGCAAGTTTCTCCTGTTTTCACTATTGTATAAAATGCCTTTTTTGAAGTGTTTGTAGGACTGACGCAAATCATATACTCTTGGAAAGACATCAATTAGGTTTAGCTTTTTCATTCAGGATAATTTTTAAGATTTGTGACGGTTTAAGGGCAGTTTTTTTTAAATAAGATTCATAGGCACTAGCACGCGGGACATATTTTTATAGAAGCAGCCCATCCGGATGAGGAAACAAAAATTCGAACGGGATTCGAACCCTGGCCGCTGGGTGAGCCACTGCCCACCCTTGGAACTGCCTAATTCTCTTAGGGGCAGTTTTAAAAATGGCGCGATAACCGTTGTCGGAATTGTAAACAATACACCGTTGAAAATGCATGCAGAGGCCAACTGGTAGGGCATGCATGGTGCACGAGGAAGAGGATCCCAAGCGGACAGATTGGCTCCACTATGCATGGATCCATGCACGGATGGCCCTGGAGGCGCTGGCTATCTTTCTCAAAGTTCCGGCAGCGTCATGTGCTGCACATTGGCAGCCATAGGTTGCTGCATCGGCCATGTGGCGCCCGCGTGCGCATGGACCCCGATTATCTGGCTGTTCGCTCGCATGCAAAGCTCGACCACCACTTTATTGGCCTACATGGATAAGCATCGCCCTCCGGTCCCTTGTACATATATCGATCGATTCAAACATTTACCAACGTTATACTT